TCTGACGTTGGCATGAATGCATGAGTTGGTGAAACACTTGGTAGTGATTTATCGGATGTGTGAGGATGCTCCGTGGGTTTTGCTGTTGTTGTGGTGAAGGATAAGTGGATAATATGGCCTAATTAATGTAGAGATAATTAAGTGAAGAGGAACAGGAAAGGACACCCGTTGTGCAGGTCTACATAGAAGATGGTCTACGTAGAAGACATTTTAGTCATGAAAGTGTGAAATGCTGAGAAATGGAAGGGATGAGGTAGAATAACTGGGATGGATGGATTTGAAAAAGAAAGGAAGCACAGAACTGAATTTTGGCCAGAAAAACCTTTTCAGACCAACCTAAACCCTGCTCCTCCTACTCCTCAGCAGCAGCAGTAGTAAATCTGATCATGAAGCAGTGAAACAAATGTAGAAAGAGGACAAAACACTTCCAGACACAGTTTGAGGGGAGCTAAATGGAAACGATGATAATCAGAGACTTTAAGTGTCTCGGTTTCTCTAAAGCCACATCTCTGCTGGGCTGTAGCCATGGAAACCCACTCTGCATCCTTTAAGAGGTAATTTGTTTGCTCCAATCTTAATTATGTCCTGTGCAGCCACTCATTTTGCACGAAATGACAATATAATAATCTTTATAATTGATGCATTCTGATGAGGAGACATGTAGGTGGATAAATATTTACTCGGCTTGGGCGGCCTGTCCGATCCGTCGTGGCTAAGCTGGAGTCACACGGAGAATTGATGAAAATGTTAGATTTGATTTTCTAAATCCAACATCAAAGCAGCAGAACAAAACTGAGTCAGTCAGGAATCTGTGGAAGTGCTGTTAAATCTCTCCAGATCATCCTGAGTGCATGTGAATCTTTAGTCAGACAGGACGTGAGCTATCTGCTCTCATTTTGTCTCTACCAGCATTTTCAATCATCTGCATCTCTGAAATGCGACGTTAAACTTCCTGCTTTGGCTCTGTGATCTTAAAGATCAAGTACCGCCTAAATTAACCCTCCCACTGTCCTAATGGGTGTGACCCCGCGAGGAAAGTTGACCATTGAGCAGGGTTGATGGTTTATCCCTTGGGTCCATGTGGCAGGGTTGGGGAGTGAGCACCACCTCACCCCTGCTACGTGGACCTCAAGGGATAAACCATCAACCCTGCTCAATGGTCAACTTTCCTCGTGGGGTCACACCCATTAGGACAGTGGGAGGGTTAACATTTTTTTTGGTGATAATCTGTAAAGATGAGTGTCTAATAGTGCTGAACACACATGTCATCATTAGTGTGGCAGTTTAGTGCAACTTACCTTAAATTAATATTTCAGCCAAAAACTATAATTCTATCTCTATCTTTAGGTTAAAAACTCTGCTCCACATTCATGTAGAACCAGCTGTGGCTGATGGCTAAGCTGAAAAACGTGACGTTGTCAGCAAAGTACTACGTGGCTGCACAACACTTTTCTCCAGGTGAGGCAGCCGCACCTCCACCTGGCTCAGCCACTCACCTGCTGATATGACACGTTAGCGCTCTGAGCCGCTCGTCTCCTTGAGTAAAATGCCCCCCCCTTCATCTAATGATGGTGGTTAACAGGAAATCCTCCAGAATGCTGCAGAATCCGTCTGCTCTTCTCCTGAGCGGTAAGTCTACTGTGAGTGGGTTGAGGGGGTTGCGGTCTATCACTACCTCAGTGCCACTCTCTCGGTCCGCCTCTTTCAGAAGTGTTTTCCTAACAGGAAGTGTGGATGACATACGTCTCCACCCCATGCATTGACCCTCACCTTAAGTAGATGAGTTTCTGTGGCAAAATTCACCAAAACCATCGTCGGACCTGGAAATCTGAAAGACAGAATTCCCTAAAGCATCACGTGGAGACCACCTTAGGGCTGATTTACCTGTGAGGACATTGGAAACTTCAGCTTCGTTAAAAACGAACAAACAAACCTGATTTTAACTGCAGTCGAGTGCGTTTGAATCCCAAATGTGGGATTTAAGTTTTGGAATGAATGAACGAATAAATAGAACATAGCAGACAAAATAATAAATTATAATAATTTGCAGATAGATGAAATAAAGAAAAAAAAAGACGGAAGATGAAAGGAAAATGGGAGGAAGTCTTAGTGATGAAGCATCGCCACAGAAAGGTGAGACGAGTCTGATGAAGGGCACTAGAGGGAAACACACACCTGCTAGAGCCAAAATGGCTGCTTCCTATTGTTCCTGAGTCACTCCCTAAATGAAGCGTGATGGGAGAAAGTGATAGAGGGAAAAGAGTGGAGAACAAAGACGGATGAGATGGCAAGATTCCAAGTTGATGGGAGGAGGCGGGAAAGAAATGGGAGATGTTGTCAGTCCGGAATGTGTGTGATGCCCTTGTGATGATGACACTTTAATGTTTTAGCATCACAAACACACACTGACACCCTCTGCAGAGGCGAGGAGGAGATGAGGACAACAAGGTCATTGGGAGAACGATCAGCTGATAACAGCTGCTCCACTGCAGGATCTCACTGATGTCTGAGGTCAAACGAGAAGGAAAGACAGAAGATGGAGAGAAAGGAAAAACATCCTGACAGGGTAATGAAGGGGTTTAAAGTACCAACACCCATCTGGACAGATGACCTGGGAGCAGCTGTGAGGTGGTGGTGGTTGGCGGGGGGCATGGAACTGTGACCTTCAGCTCTTGCTGGGGAGGTTCACAGCTGAGTGGAATGAACTGGGAGGATTTACCAGAATCAGAGGGCATGGTTCTGACTCTGGGTCGGGCGGGAAGTTGGACCACAGGTAGAGAAGTTTAACCCTCCCACTGGAGTGAGCACCACCTCACCCCTGCCACGTGGACCCAAGGGATAAACCATCAACACTGCTCAATGGTCAACTTTCCTCACGGGGTCACACCCACAGTGGGAGGGTTAAGTATCTCTTGGTTCATGAGTCAGGGAAAGAGGGAGCGGGAGATGGACATGTGGATCCATCTTCACCGGTGGTCTCCAGCTTTCGGGAATGACTTAAGGAACGGGATCGAGTTTCTTCTGCTGGGTGGCCGATTAGCGCGAGGAGCTCACATGACAATCCCAAGCCAAACTTTCTAATAATAAAGTAATTAAAAAACTAAAAATGAGGCAAGTTGTGAGTTTCCCTATCAAACCATCCCAGGAACGCCTGACAAACTTTCCACAGGTGAGGACCAGAATGTAGGTGTTTGTTCTGACTTCGGGTAAAATCAGAGGAGCCGATAAATAAGTAAACAAACAAAATAAATCCATTCCCAGGTAGTCAACGAAGAGACGTCATAATCTTGCCTCAATCGGTTTGCAACTTATCCCTATTTGGCTCAGAGTTTAGTCTCCAACTCTTCCCAAAGTCGTCCCAGACTAGTCTTCTTGCACTTTTTGACTCATGGAAGCTAGAGCTTTTCGTTTGTCTTCAGACAGGTCTCAGATATCCTGATGGCTCTACGCCTCTTCTGAGAGGAAATTAGTTCCTAAAATTCTGTCCGTATACTTTTTGATCTTGGGAAATCTTTTCTCTGCATTCGACCAATCCTTTGCAGTTCAGCATCTTGCCCAAGGATGTTTTGGCATGTGGCCTACCAGGACTGGGATCGATCCTACGACCTTTAGATCGTAGGACACCCGCTCCCCGTTCAGCCACGGCCTTACCACACCGAACGCAGCCATGTGGCTCACTGGAGAGATCTACCATCCTCTCAGATGTTTCCAGAAGGTCCATCATACCTTCTGTTTGTTGTGAATGTTAAATGGTTACATTTAGATCTTCAGTTTTGTGTCTCCATGAACCTGATTATTTACAGCTTCCTAAATGGGAAGTTGTCTGTTTGTCCTTGGTTTTTCCAAAAGTGAGTAATGGGACCAATAAATAATCCTGTAGTTGTGTTGGTGGAACTTCTCATTAGAGCTGAAAGGGCAGAGTCGAGCTTCACGCTCAAATTAACTGTGTCCTTCAGCTTGAATGTCAAATGGATGAAACGCTAAAAGCCACTAAACAGAATCTTTTGTTTGGAGCAGAATGGGCTCTCCTCGTTTACATTTGTTTTGGTGAGCTCAGAAACGAGGATGCTTCAAAACAAACCTCTGGAATATTCTGTCCCCGAGGACGAATTTCACACCATAAAAATGCAAATGGGACAGAAAGCAGCAAATGATCTGCGGGCCGCGTGTCCTGCGTCTCTGGCGCTGATTAGACCGATCAAGGTAGGAGACTCAGTGGTTTGTGTTGCTGTAACAACGCCGCCTCGCTCGCCGGCTGCCATGGCAATCCAACAAAAATAGAGCCGTGGAAAATAAAAGTTCTTGGACGGGTGGGTGTGCGAGCGAGGCAGACAGACTCGGCGGCATAATTAGAGTTTAACTGGAGGCTACAAGGAGCAGGATGTTTCATTCACAACCCAATATTCTGCTTTTTATTCCGTTTTTGTGGCCTTTTTCGGCTCTCAGTGTCTCATTTACTGAATCTCTGCTCTGTTTGATTTCTGTTCCTTTTCCTCAAGAAGGAAATTAGAAAAACGAATAAAATAATGTAGAGCAACAGAACGGACTCGTGCAACAAAAGATTCATCAGATAAGGACACATGCTAATTTTATCAGGTCCCCTCTTGGTCTCATGGATCCAATAATTCCTCAGAGGTCCAGCAGACCAGCCTATATGGTACGAACAAGCATGTCATGGTTCTGACACTGAGGCTGAACTCCAGAGGGTCGTTAAGAGGCTGCCGTCTGATTGGCTGATCAGATGATTGTGTTGACGTGCTTTTGGACAGGTGCATGTCTAATTTCATGCAATATTTATTTTATCTTACTATTTTCTGCTGTTTTCTTTTTAATTTGACTGATAATGAAAGTTTCCTTATTGTTTCTAATTAAAATGTTTATTAATAAATTCCATTTATTCATCTTTATTTTTCTAACAGAATTCCACTTGCTGCTTTTTAACTGATATGTTTTTATTGTGATGAAGGAATTCATCTTTTATCTCATCTTTGTTCCTGCAGGATTTCTGTGAAACACTAAGTTTTAAGACACGAGGACCAACGTTACCTGTGCAGGTGAGATTGTCGGGCATCACAATGGGTGGACAGCTGGCATGAAGTGGGTGCTGCAGGAGATTAGAGATTAGTGGATTAGTCACCTTAAACTCAGCGGCCGACATCGATGTCGGGCACAGCTGGAGAACACAATTAAATTAGTGGAACGTAGCTTAGCACAGGAACATAAAACCACACACACACACACACACACACTGGACAGATGCTACCCCCACCCTTCCCTTCTTCATCCGCTCACATCCAGCTGGAGAAGAGATGAGATTTGGGTCCGACTGGTTTTGTCTTTTTTCACCCAAATCAAATAAAGCAGCTTCATTAAAGTCTGATCGTGGTTTAAATCCCGTGTGGCGTTAGCGTGACGTCTTTGTGTTTCCTAGACTCTTCAGAATGAAGATGAAGTAAGACGTCTCCATCACGCCTGCCCCTCCTTCACTCCACATCGACGGTACCTGACAGGATCAGAACTTCTGCTTCTGTCTCTGAAAACTAAAGTTTGAAGGAAAAAGCGACAGGGAGGAGCTTTAAACGTGACCCTCTTCATCTTCTCAGAGCTTTGATGGATCTGCTTCACACAGCAGACTGAAGCAAGAAAGACCTTGAAGCGGAGAACAAAGGGGCAAACATCAGAGGAGCAGAGCAGAGGGAGAAAATCGAGGGTTTATTTGGTTAAAGGTCGGTTAGATGGCCATAAGGACAGACCTCCTCCCCTCTGCTGCTCCTCCTCCCGTCTTCCCTCTCTCTCTCCACTGATCTGCCAGCTTTTCTCAGCTCTGTCGCTCCAGTGCGGAGGGAGACAGCAGAGCAGAGGAAGCCGGGCTCTGCCTTCGCACAGATGGCAGAAAACAGGAGAGGTGCTGCATTCGCCCGACTGCTGAATCCCAGTGAAGCCGAACGCTGCTGTTGATGGAGAATGGGATGCACGATGGCTGGAAAACAGAGGAGGGAAAGTTCTAAAGTCAAGGAAAAGAGGGATAAATGAAGGATTTTGGATGCAGACGATCGCGCCGCAGCAGAGAGTAGAGAAACCTCAGCTGGACTGAGACCAGCCCACACGTGTGCAGGTTCTGATCCAAGGGTGGGTCGGCGTGACGGAGGGCTCGTCCCAGTCACCACACCTGGGTGGTTGTTGGACCGGGGACAGTGGCAGGCCCAGGGGCGGGGGCATGGCCGTGGGGGGGCCGCATCCCATCCTCCACGCTCCACAGGGACAGGAGCTTTGGCTGGGGGTCCTGGAGCTGGGGTCCACCCAAGGGGGCTCCCAGGCTGTTGGAGCTCAGGCCCTGGATGAGTGGAGGGGTGGTGCCGGTGGGTGGAGGTAGCATTGCGGGGGGCGGAGCAGAGAAAGGAGGCAAGGTGAGATGTTCCCGAAGACTCTGGTTCCTCCTCGGCACGGTGGCTCTGGTCTTCCTCACCTCGCTCTTCTTGTCCATGTCGCTTCGAGGGGGCGTTAGCTTCAACTATCTGGAGCCCCCCGGGTGGGAGGAGTCCAGGCGGGTGAAACTGGTGCCCAGCTACATGGGCACACATCGGCTGTCTCCACCTGAAACTCCGTTGCAGAAGACATGTGCCTGCTCTCGTTGCGTCGGAGACCCAGGAGTGTCTGACTGGTTTGACGAGAACTACGACCCGGATATCTCGCCCGTTTGGACCAGAGACAACATCCAGCTGCCCCCTGATGTCTACTACTGGTGGGTGGTAAGTAACGACACCCACAGTGGTATTCCACTTCTAACCATGAGGGGAGGGGCGTGGTTTGCTAATTCAAAGTCAGCATCGTAACTGCAGACAGAGGTATTGTGTGTGTGGGTTTTTTTTTGGGGGGGGGGGGGGGGGGTCAGTGAGGAAAAACTTTTCTAAGTATTTTCCAAGATGAAAATTTCCAAAGTTCTATAAAAGGAGATGATGTCATCATCTGGTTGTTTAGGGTAACAGGTTAGCATTAGTAACCGGTTGCTAGCTGGTTTTGTCCAGATTCAGCTGCCTTTGAAGTTCAGTCTTGATTTAAAGGGTCATTTTTGACAGGAAGTGAAGGATGTGATAAAAAGAGGAAGTCCTCGCTGTTGTAGTGTCGCTTGTTTTAGACACCAAAGTTCACTCATGTTTCCGATTCTCCAAAGAGAACATTCACCAACTGGCTCCTTCTGCTGCAGGTAAGATGCTGATTAGAGGCTGGCAGATTTATTCAATTTTTTCTATATTGGCCAAAATTATTGTTAAACGCAGATTAAAAAAATAATAATAATAAAGAATCAGGCACCTGTGTGGCCAACTGCCGCTACTACTAGACTTAAGAAAGGACCTGAAGGGCCCCAACACAGTTTTTTTTAAATGTTTTGAGTTTGTTTTATAGTTGTTTTTTTTTTTTGAAGTTCAATAAATATTAAGAGATTTATTGACTTATTTAATGTATATTGCACACAGTGAGTGTTTGGTTGTCTTTCACAATCAATGTGCTGCTGAAACACACACACACACACACCTTATCAGCCTTAATAAACAACTTTAGATATCAACCATCGGCAACAAAATTCTTGAAAAATCTGTATCGGCATCGGCCTTAAAAAATCCATATCAGTCGCCTCTAATGCTGATGAGTCTGAATGTTTCGACATGACTTTATTCATCCTTTGAATCTGTTCATAGTTTACTAAAGCCTTTGTTTTTTTTTAGCTGAAGCTGAATCTAAACATTTGGTTCATTTCATAAACATGAACATAAAAAGAGCAACTTCTTTGTTACATTCCTTTCTATCCATTTTTACCGATAGATAGGTGCTCTGACGAAGGCAGCGGTGGATGCCGATACATGTAAGCAACGGCAAAAACAAGCTCTGTTTACTTTGTGTACGATGAAGAACTACAAAAAATGAAATCGGATAAAATGAGTAAATCTGCATTTTTAACCTTCTGGATCAGATCTCACTGTTTACCATCAGTGAGTGGGCGTGCTGCGTCTCCTGCGAGCTAATGCTGCAGCGCCCACAACTGGAATTTGATGACTGTCGGCAAAAAGCACCAGAGTTGTTTAAAGTGGTTGCAGTAACCACATTTTACCACAGGATGTCATTTTTACTTAATTTCTACATAATGCACCTTTAAATGAATCAAACTGATTAATTTAAGTGAGAGTTTCCCACTGACCCGGTTCTCTGAGGTACTTTTGCTTTTACCGCCATCAACAACACGTCGCACATTTTTAACCAGAAGGTCAAAATAAAAATAAACAAATAAATAAACAAATAAAATTAAACAAATAAATAAAAAATAAAATAAAGTAAAATGTGACACTTTCATATTTTTTCTTAAACTTCAATTTAATTTTTGGAGATTATCGGAGTTGGATTATCTGAGCCGAGATGTGACGGCTGAGTGTGAAAAGGATGGTTTTATGTGTCAAACAGCATCATCCTCCACAGATGCTGCAGGCACAGGAAATGACATGTCCGAGTCTGTCTAAAGATAACAAAATCTTCTTAGCAGCTCCTCTAAAGCTCGCTGATTAACAGCTTTCCTCGTGTTTGTTTGTTTGCCACCAGCTGAGCGCTGCACATAATCCAAAGTAAAACTATTACAGACTAAACATGCGAGGACAAACCTGCAGACCTGTGAGCCTCTGAAAGGCGGTTAGTCAGACTCTCCAACTCTGAACAGCTTGCAGATTTCATTGATTCAATTCATTATGTGGAGCTAATCTAATCATCACTGGGATTTACCTGCAAACGTGCTGCTGTGCATTATGGGTAAACACCTCTTCTTCAGTCTCCATTGTTCCAGAAGTCAGAAACTTTACCAACTTGAGTCGTGCTGCTGTGACAGAAGAAACATCCTCCTGCAGTCTTTTTCTAACAGAACATCCATGAACTTTAACATTTAACCGTTTTAGGAGATTCCCAGGAAAACCTTTGCTTATTCAATTCAATTAAAAAATACTTTATTAATCCCAGAGGGAAATTGATTGCTGTAGTAGCTCAGAATAATAATAATAATCAAGTCATCAAAGAGTTATTGTATATTACAATGGCTGTTGGCAGGAAGGATCTCCAGTAGCGGTCAGTGTTGCAGCCAAACTGAAGAAGCCTCTGACTGAAGACACTCTTCCGTTGTCGGACAGTCTTGTGAAGAGAATGCTCAGGGTTGTCCATAATTTTCTTGATTCTCTGGAGAATCCTTCTTTGCATTATCTCCTCCAGTGGTTCCGAAACTGCCGAAACTCTGGCTGAGTCCTTGAAAGGGCTTGGAGTTCCTCCATCTTGTTGGCCAGTGATCTCACGTTGCCCATTATGATCGATGGAAGAGATGGTTTGAATTTCCTCTTTCTCCGTTTTGCTCCCGCTCTGCACCCACGCTTCTTGCGTTTTAGCTCATTTAGGATTTGTGGCTTCAGTTGAGGTATTATTTCAGCCTTTCCAATGTTAATCAGCTGCTCCCGATTGTAAACCAGCTTGTTGCCATGGTTACGCGTCATAACAAATGCTCAAAAAGCTAAAAAATAGCAGTAAAAATCCTCCAAGCTTCACAGCACCAGAAACAGAAAAGTAAATTGTCCAAAAAAAGACTGTTTTTCTTGAGAAACTAGAAGAAAAAATGTCCAAGAAAAGGCAAAACTTACATATAGTCAACAGAGCTACTCCAACATGCAGCCACCCACAGCAGCGCAGTTCCGGGAAAAAAAAAATGCACGACTTGCATCTGGACCACAATAAAACGAGTCCACTTAAAAACTATCAACGGTACAAAACAAAAGCATGATACAGGTTTTATAAATCAGAGCTTCTGCTTTTATGGTAGAATCACTTCATTCAGATTTGAACGTCCTTGGGTGATAAAAGTTACAATAAAAATAAATAGATAAATCAGACCCTATCTGTGTGATTGGTTGGTGTCGCGTTGTCTTCGCCGCTCCAGCAGAACCCGATTTGGCACTTTCTTCATCAACATAAAACTCCTGATTTGCATGTTTGGCTCCTGGGAATTCAGTCGGCCACATGAAAGATGTAACTTAATTATGCCTCCAAGTTAAGGGGAGTAATACATCATAATCACCTCCTCATCCCTCCTCACTGCTGAGCCAAGCAATCTCCCCCTACAAGCACAAACACCCTCCTCGTGCGCTCCTGCCAGCAGTGGGTTTAGAGTGGAAGTGGAACAAATGAAGCGGGTTTTCCTTCAACACCAGCGAGTCTGGGTGGAAAACATCTTCATCCCTGTTTCTGACCTCCATGGAGGTAAAATCCAGAAGTCACTGAGCTGGAGTTGTGACCTCAGGTTTCCTTTGGCATGGAAGCAAACTGCCAGTGGTCCAGCTCCTTTTGCGACAGGGAGGCGATGACCAAGCAGGGAGAATGAGGAGATGTGAGAGGACGAAGACGGACGTAAAAAGGTTTAGGACAAAAACATTAAGAAATGTTTGTTTGGTTTATTTTTTGTTGTGAACAAAACAGCTGACCTGTGGGTAGACCTCCCAAACAATGTCCTATAATCTGCTGCAACGTCCTCCTGTTGCTGTTCACCCTTGTTCTGTTTCTTGGTGAATTAGGTGATTCAACATTCCCAAAATAATCAGGAAAAACAACACAAAACCACCATTTTTTACAACAAATCCTTTTCCACTTGGTAGCTTCAGCAGGATGTGGAAAATCTATACTAAGCCACGACATTGGCTCCTCCCCATTCAAGCTGGTCCCCATCTTATGGGCCATTCCCATCTGTACCGGGTCGGCCCGGGCCGGGTAGCGTAGGTTGTTTACATATCTGGGTGTCCTGGTATTTTTCCGGGCCAACCAAGGCTCATTCTCAGCCCTCTTCTCAAGGGGGTCTGCTTCAGGCCGACCAGGGCCAACACACCCACTGCTGACAGCAAATTCACACCTTCCATTAGAGCAAGCCTCTGATTGGTGGGTAGAATCAGCCCACCAATCAGGGCTTAAGGCAAGGATGTGTGGAATCAACCGGGCCAGGCTGGGGCCGACTGGGGCTACCCGGCCTGGGCCGACCCGGTACAGATGGGAATGGCCCATAAGCTCCTCCTCCTTTATATGAGGATTTGTCTGGAACTGCGCTGCTCTGGGCGGCTGCATGCTGGAGTAGCTCTGTTGACTATGGCCCTGTCCACACGTAGCCAGGAATCTGCCTGTCATCCACACGAAAACGGAGTTTTTTCACACGAAAACGGATCTTTTTAAAAACTCCGGCCAAAGTGAAGATCTGTGTTCTCTCCGTTTTGGGCGTCTGCGTGTGGACAGACAAAACCGGAGTTTTAAGGTCCGCAACGTCACTTTCCGCGACAAAAAAATGCTGACATCATGTGTGCGACCTGTGTTTACACTAGTCGACAGCATGGATGTCCTCAGAGCTGCGCTCGCTTAATCAAATGTCCAAGCGCTTTTTGCTTGTTTGTTTTTGCAAGTGGAATTACTGCTCCTTGCGGAAGACCACAGACGAAGGACGAGGTTAAGAACGGGGGAAGTACTGCCGCCTACAGGTCTGGCATGTCCTTAACAACGTATTTATCCGGGTACGTGTGGACAGAGTTTGTTTTTTAAACGAGGTGGTGTGGATGCAAGTTTTTGGAGGGGCGGATATTCGTTTTTTAAAAACCCGGCTACATGTGGACTAGGCCTTTATGTAAGTTTAGCCTTTTCTTGGGCATTTTTTCTTCTAGTTTCTCAAGAAAAACTGTATTTTTTTGGACACTTT